TGTAATGCGATAGATATCGGGGATTTGGAGTTGGCTATTTAGACATGGTGATTCGCTAGATACATATGCTATAGTGAGACTGCGAAATCGGCGGGCAATGCCCGGGAGAAGTCCTACGCTCCATGCTAGTGGTAAACCCAGTCGAAGCTCTCAGCTACCATGAAAATGTCAAACATGGTCACAAAGACTTTTACTGAAATAATCCGATGCCTAAATGTTTTCGGACTGTCCTGTCTGCAGTGCGTATGTATTGTGTATGACATTGGAATGATAAATTAGTTCGAAAGTTACGCTGGATATGCATGTAACTGCCTGCTTTCTAACAATACATACTTCGGCTGCTTATCCGGTGCAGTTGCCATTAGCTCATTGGAAGTTAACTATTTTCCAATTACCATGATCCTTGCCCCTTGAGATCACCGCCGGCTGACACGAGTCCTCACAACGGATGTCAATTCTTACTACCTCTTGACGGCAGAGGCAAGCCTTTCCTCTTTTTTTTCGATGGTCCAGTTCAATCAGAGGCCTAACGCAATGATTGCTCTCATCATTCACGCTTCTCCCGCTGATGATGCCAAAAAAGCCACAACTGGCACCGATAAAAAAACACGTTAAAAAGATGTTTGATCACATATACCCTTCGACCAGGGATCATTCGTCATGACATTCTTATCCTCCCTTGTTTCCACTCTTTTTTACCTCTTTTCCCCAGGTGCCCACATCAACAATTCATTATTTTTTGTATCAGTCACCGCTGTATGAATGTAATTATATCCCCACGGCACCATCTCCTAGGCTCTGGTACGGTACGCCCCTGGAAACCAGCCCTTCTCCGGTGTCGGATACCACCCCTCTTCGTGATGATATCATCAATAACACGACCACGCCACGGGGTGGCACCGTGGTGATTCGTCGGTGCTCCGCTGAAAAAGCGACAGAATTGCAGCCTCATGACTTGGACAGACGCCATCGACACCACCATCAACAGCAGTAGCACCATCACCATGGGTAGTGACGCCGCCATCGATATATTGTCACCAGAGATGTCAATCGGACCAACCATCTTTTTGGCATACCAATACCAAACAGATACCAACCAGGTAGTTGGTAGTTCAATCCTTATGTGCTTGGTATTTTGCTGGCGTTTTGGATCCTTATCGATGGATTAAATGCTTTGGCTTTGGTAAAATGTTGGTATTTCCCTCAGTTTTTTTTTTCAATTTGGTTGGGTTTTCGGTATTTGCCCATGGTTTCGGTTGGTATTTGGCTTGGTATCGGTTTCCCAATTATATGCAATTGACATCACTAATTATCACCACCACCACCATTGTCGATAGTGACACCCACCATCGTCACCACCATCGGACCACATCGCGCTCCGCCGCCATCGCTATCAGCACCACCAGGCCGTCACCCCGGCTCAGGCGTAAGGTCATCTCTAAATCGTCGGACGAACCAGCCAAGAAAGGCACCGACTCCAAAATCACCGCCTCCAGACGTCTTAAAGCGTCGTTGGGTGACACCGAATCCGGTGAAAAGATCTGGCGGATAGCTGATTAGCAAAAAGCGCAATTGCGTATTGTATGCGCTGGATCCCAAACAAACGAGAGGGGCAACTCTTCAGAGGTATACGACGGTGAATTTGTTCCATGATTGGGCGTCCCTGTCACTGTGAAGCGTTACACCCGTGTCTAAATACGGCAAGACCAAATGGGAGAAAACGCCACAGGGACAATAAGACCCCTCTCTCCCCGCCCTAGAGCGCAGGTAAATATAACAATTGTCACCATCCAGTAAATGGTAGATATACCACGTGACATTATCGACATGTCTTACCTGCCTGGAAAAATCGTGGAAATCCCTTGTGCTGATTTTCTCCGAGGACTGTCACCGCCAAAAGTGCATTCATGTGCGTTGACATTTTGTGGAAACATCAAAGCTGTCACACGTTGGATATGTTGTCGCGCATCTCCGGATGCTCCATGTGCACCTTTCTGATGTCGAGCTGAACATAGCATTAGGTAGCCGCTTGTCGTACCCACGCGAACGTTTTTTCATCACGCGACCGGCTAGTCAGCGAATGATCAAATGTTTCAAGAGTCTCAGCTCAGTCTGATGAAAAGACTGATGTAACGTCATTAGAAAAAAACATGTTTTTTCTTTCGACCTAGCCTGTAAATCGGACTTGTCCCTGGTGGCGATTCTCTGTAACTAGTTAACACTAAATAGCAATGCTACTACGATGACAATGCTAACTCTAAGGGAAGCTCAGTTTTTCCCTGCAGCAACAAAAAAAAAACTCGTAATTAGCCTGAGGGCATGCGCACGACTTGCAGAAGCAGATCGATCCCAGTCCAAGCGATAGCTCAATCATGCCAGACCTATATTCGAGCTTGAAGAATGAATACATTTGAACAGAAACATTATCTGTGCAGGTTTATTGGAGTTTAAATATAAAAATGTTTCCAGGTTGAAATAACACTGTGAAGTTTGCGATTTATACGCATCGGATACGGATACATCTGATGATGTGCTCGACCATTCCCGGAATGGTTGGTTGAGCTTTTTCACTGAATTAAGCATATTTATCTTTTAAATGACAAGTGAAACGTTTTCACCGTACACGATGCTTGTATGTACCTACATACATGGTTTGTATATTTCTATGAAGCCTATCTATAACCAGTTCAAACAAATGAGAGGCATTGAACAGGATGTTGCATCCTTCATGACCTCAAACATCACCCCATTATCTTCTTGAGACTAATACGGTTAGACACACCTCCAGCAAAGCACGTCAGATAGACCCACATGGAGAGCACCGCGTCGGTTTATGTCTCAGACCACTGGCGTCACTAAAATCAAAGTCGTTCTTCAAACTGGGCACGTGCAACATTACAGAATGCAACGGTGTCATTGAGCTCAGGCTGGTGGCGACATGGAATATGTATGACACTGTGTCTTATGATACATCTTCTAATCCAATTGTTGCAGAAGGCGGCGAAAAAAAAGAACGTCTTCACAAACCCGGATTTCCGAAGACATCAGCAGCAAAAGTCACGAGCCACGCTCACAAGTTAATTAATGAGCGTTAATGAGTCATGCGCTGAGCATGTCGTGCAGAAGTGATTGTCATCAGGGTATATTGAATTAGGATTGTGATAGCAACTGGCTACATTGCATGGATTTATGACTTAATCGATGGCAGATTAAATTAGTGAATACAAGTTTCCTCATATTGTATTGACAATTGCTGACAACTCCACATCACTCATTGTGGCTATTCTGTGTCACAAGTCAAAAGATAAAACGATCAACGGGAAATATGGTGGGGGGTAAAAACAGGCACACAGTCAAACAACACTCATACGTCAGAAAATGCTAACCCCGTCCACCCTCCCCACCCCTATTGCACACCACCGACTTGACTGCTCGCTTAAAGCGTGCCGGGTTCAGCTCCAATGTGCTCGCAGGCAGTTCGTTCAGGAGTGATGCGGCACGGTAGGTAAAAGACCGCTGGCCGGCGGCTGTACGCATGAGTGGAGGCCGCAGCCGCCGGTCCTGCCGGGTACCACGATCACAGCGCTGACGTGAGTCCACAAATGTCACAAACTGGGATGAGATGTCCGTGGGCTCCCCGCACACAATCGCCTTCTGAGCCACAGTCATGGTGGACACGTCACACATCAGTCGAGGGGAGATAAAACCAAGCTCCTCCCGCGCGCGAGACACATGGTCATACTTCCGCAGGCCAGTGACGACTCTGGTGGAGAAGTTAACCACGCTCATCAGTCTAGCGTCATTCTTGGAAGTGCCACAGCCATAAATCGCAATACAGTACCTCACGCGCGAGAGGACCAGGCCGTCAACCACCGTGCGCATCACATGCCGCATAAAAGCTGCCCTGCACGAGCGGATGATGAAATACATTATTTAACAGCGAACGATTTACTCTACATCTCATCTTGAAGATACAAGTCAGTGATCTGGTGGTACAACGTGTTGGCCCGACCACGCTAGTGTTGTGCCGCCCTCTTGATGTCATCCAGTCCTCTACATGTTATTATTTATCTATTGTGAGTGTAAAACATGCATGGGACACAGGTTCCAGATTCCGGCCGATAAAACAACAGATGTCACATTGCCTTTGATTTCCAAGATAAACACATCTGCTCTGATGTCCCCACTATTTCTTTTTTGTTAATAAAGGCAAATTTTATCAGACGTTCTGTCAATTATAATGATAAATAAATGACCCATGATGCCTTATAAATTATTGATAACCTGTATTTCAAGTTCCCGACCCCACGTGGACAAATTGTCATTCGCTCAAAAGCCCATCACATACATATGTGACTTGTGAGATACTTTACTGCTAACCTAAAGAAGAATACTTTACTGCTAACCTAAAGAACAGACCTAAAGAATGATGACGACCTTATCGTCAAGCGCTCAGATAAATGCAAGGGATTAGTCCTTTTGGAGAAATCAGAGTACGTACACAAGACTGAAACTATAGTGAATGATTATCAGCCCATTGACAAAAATCCAACCAAAAAACTAGACGTCGAGACTTCTGACCTCATCACCGAGACTTTGGCAGGTAAACTACCCGACAAAATCATACACGCTCTAAAACCTAACGAGTCACGCACGGCAGAACTTTATGGACTTCCGAAAACACACAAACCAGGCAACCCGATGAGACCCATAGTATCAGCATGTGGGGACCCAGTTGACAAGCTCTCGTGGTTCCTAGAGAGAATAATCACCCAGCTTCTGATCCTAGTACCAGCCCACTTAACTAACACCTATGACTATTTGCAACACCTGAGCACTCGATTCCCTTCTGGCCTCCCACCCGGTGCCATCGCATTCACAGTAGACGTGAACAATCTCTACGGTAACATCCCCACAGCAGAAGCGATAGAGGCGACTATAGCTATGCTACGTACCCACTCGTCAAAGGTGAACTTATATGGTCTCACCATCCCTGATGTGAAAAAATTACTTGAGCACTGTCTGGAAAACAACTATGTACGCTTCGGTACAAAATATTACAAGCAAACCCAGGGGATAGCTATGGGAAGCCGTATAGCCCCTCCCCTGGCTATCCTCTTCATGAACGCAGTAGAAACACGCATACTAGCATCGGATAGACTACAACCTGCACTTTACCTTAGATACATCGACGATATTTTTGGTATTTGGACCCATGGCTCGCAAAACTTAGATGAATACATACAGTTCATTAATAGCTTCCATCCTTGTCTAAAATTCAGCTTCGAACGCACCGATCTCTCGTCACAAAGACAAATTCCCTTCCTTGATACACTAATCACTGTAGAACCCTCAGGAGCATACACCACAGAACTTTATGTTAAGCCATCAGCAGCCCCTATCATATTACATTTTGACTCCAGCCACCCTATGCAGACCAAAAGGAGCCTCATACACTCTCAGTCGCTTAGAGCTGTTCGTTTGGGGTCTGATAAAGCAGCACAGGACCGGGGTCTACAAAAAATAACGGACATATTCATTTCCAGCGGCTATCCGATTAAACTGATTCGTAACATACAAAACGCAATCAGATATAAAAACAAACAATCTCAAAAGAAAAAGTCTTCTCCCAATATTACCTACATATCTCTACCTTACATTGACGAAACCCTCACACGTAAAGTCAACGCAGCAGTGAAGTCCTCAGATTTGGATATTCGAGTTGCGTGGAAAAGCGGACCTACACTCTCAAATCAACTGACCTCGTCTGCACTGCAACCCCCTGATTGTCCCAGGGGGTGTCGTAAGACTTGCAGTACGTGTGAGGGTGGCCTCAAAGGTAGATGCCATACCAAAAACGTTGTGTATGAGATTAAATGTAAAATGTGTGGAGATACATACATTGGTAAAACTAAACGCATGGTGAGGACTAGATTTATGGAACACTTGGGAGACGCTAGGAACAAAAGGAAAGGTACTGACCTAGGTGATCATATACTGACAGCACACCCCACAGCACAACCGATGAACACTGACTTCGAAATTTCTATTCTTCATAGATGCAAGGACGAAGCGAACCTTTTAATAACTGAATCAATTGAGATAAGAAACAAAAAACCAGCACTTAACAAAAACACATCATCATGGCGCTTACTCCATCCAGTTCCCTACACATCATCATATGCACATTAGCGCTTGTTCCTTGGCTTGTTCTGTTGGTAGCGTTATATGACACCGATACCTACATAGTAGCAGTAGTTCCTTTCGTGTCTAACAGATGGCTCCAGTAGGCAGCGCCTGTAGATATGCTGTACCGCCGAACACTGATTATGATTGGGTATTATAGGTCATTGTTAGCTGTGATTTAGGTTGATGTGTATGTATTAGTGTGCGCGTAGTACGAATTCTGAGATGGAATGATAGCGTAATTCGCGTAGTACGTATTGTGTTGTCGACTGTTAAATAGGTATACGTATTTATTAACAAAGACAAATAATAGCGCGCAGTACGCACTATTATAGGTCATTGTTAGCTGTGATTTAGAATGATGTGTATGTATTAGTGTGCGCGTAGTACGAATTCTGAGATGGAATGATAGCGTAATTCGCGTAGTACGTATTGTGTTGTCGACTGTTAAATAGGTATACGTATTTATTAACAAAGACAAATAATAGCGCGCAGTACGCACTTAGGGGTCGATCTTAAAATTATTATTCGTCTAAATCTCAAGATATCTGTTAATCCTTTCACGATATTTATTGCATGCGCATGATTTGTGTCTGAGCTTGGCCTGCATCTCTGTGTTCTATTTGTTGAATTTACCTATATGTATCCGAAGAAGCCCCGTGGGTGAAACGTAATACAACTATTCTATCAATTTTGATCCTAAATAATGAGCATCTGGCTAATCATCTTCATCATCATATGTAACACAATGCTCAGTACTAGCATCTCCATCCTCAAAAACTTTACTGCTAACATGCCCTAATCATATAATGCAGGATATGGGATCACGAACTATGGAAAACATAGCCCGGTGAAGGACTGCTCCGGTTGTTTTTCAATAGAAAAACACAATTCTAACGAAGTGTTTGCCTTCTCAAACAACCTATGGTTACTGAATGATAATCAGCGAGACGGTCGCAACTCACAACTGGCGGATGTCTGGAACGCAAAGGCAATGTCTGGATCACAGAAAACGACTTTGCCAATGCATTTACTAAAATAGCATGGCGAGTCGCATTTATTTGTTTGATATATCCGTTGCTTACGCTAAACCATCTGGAAATCATGCAAATCTAAAGATATCAGCAAACCATGAGTTCAAGGAAAAGCCGAATGCTAGGATGCAGCTTGGGTCCAGTACTTAGTAAGGCTAGACGTTTAAAGTAATTATCCCATGTCTGTCTGGTCGCCAACGCAGACTTTAGGCAAATCATTTGTAAGACTTTCGGACCACTCACAAATGGAAGATCAATTCGCAATCAGTGAAGCGCAGCCTTCAAGGGCGATAGATCGATAGATGGCGACTACCAATCGCATGTTTTACCTGATGAAAGGCTGGGCTTCTCCTTATAATTCATCGATCTCGAACAAATTTGATCTATCCTCGACCATTGCAATAATTGAAACATATTATGTTTCTCATATTATCAACTTTCTGGTCCTGCTTTGTCAAGTCAAACCTACAACCAAACGCCATCGGGCGGGACATATCACTAAATCGAACACAAATTAGCCTGCCTCCACCCATCTCTAGTTTTACAGACAGTTGATGGCCCCAATGCCTACGTCTAATCGGGCACCAAAGTGAACTCTCAAGTCTCACGTCGCCTCGCTGCCTTTCCAGGAAGGTGCCCTGGTCATGATGTCAAACCACCGTCAGGCGCGGCGCCAATCGTGCATAATGCATGCAGTTCGAGCCGTTCGGACCTTTCAAGCTCGACATCGGGGAGGGGTGGGGCTATCGGTGTCGACAGGGTCATCAGGAGGTTAAACGTTCCACTCTGCCACGATGACAGTGATGGGGGATGAGGGCGCGGGTAGGGGGCAGGGATCAGCACGTAAGTAGTCGGCGTGGGTCGAATCGATGTCCTTGTCGTCAGGAATAAAGCTGCTAAGTCGGTAGCGTAGGAGGTAGAGTAAAAAATAAAGAATAAAGGTGGCGGAAAGTATACGTTTTCTTTAAAGTTGCAATCGAAAAAGCCATTTGCGGATGCCTCGCACGCTAGTGCTTTGTCAAAAAACAAAAAAACAAAAAACAATAATACAAGCAATACTATCAGTTTATCAATTTCCAACAATAATACAGTGCATTTGCAAAGTTCAAAGTTCCTAGTAAAACACCAAAAATATCTTCCAAGCACCAAATCTTACCAAGTTGGCATCGGTTAGATATTAGTTTGCATAAAATTGGTTTGCAATCGCCATCTGTTCTGATTTTTCCACGAGAATTAACCACATTTCCTTCCAGTCGGGTGCCTGAATGAAGGGTCAATGACAGTCATAACTTTTCACCGGGTTGGGTAATTGGTTTGGTTGTAAATACAACACTCAAATATATATGAAAATGACCAGTAGCATACCGAAAATTTTATTTTCATATAACAAAGAGAAATCAAATCAACAAACATTCAATATCGCTGCCATAGGCGGGCTGATTGAGAACGACTTATATCCAAATAAGGAATTGTAACTGGAAGTCTGTCAAAGTTCATAGATCAGCTAAAGGAATTCCTTCACTGGCACTCGGACTGGTAACACCGAAATGAAGGGATTCTTTCACTGGCAGTCGGGCCGATAACAGACCGCTAGCTGACACAGAGGGTTGATTGATTCATCGCCCCAGTAGTCGTTCCACTCAGAATACCACACTCCAGCTTCCATCAGCCCCAGGACAACGTAAGGCTGGTTTCCGTTTGCGTTGTTGGGTTGTCCGGTTCCCCAGAGGGGACCGGTGGAAGGCACGGTGCCGCAGCCGTCGGCGCCGACGAACTGGCCCTCGGTGACGACGTCGGTGAGGCCGAGCCAGACAGTGGTGCCGCCAGCGGCAATTATGGCGCATCGGTTCTCCTCGTCAGAGCGGGGCACGGCCAGGTGGGCGCCTAGCGCGTTGCACTGGCTCTCCGCTTCAGTGTAGGCGACTGCCAGGTCCAGTCGCTTCAGACAGCGGCCGGCACAGCGGCTGAAGCCGGCCGGGCAGGCGCAGCGGTTGGACATGGTCCCTGAAACAATATAAAATTTTCTCTGAAGTTGTTGCGGGAAGCATTTCATTAAAGTAAGAAACAGTTTTGATCAACACTATGCTGGTTTGATATTTATTCGGCAATTGCTATCGAAATTCCGCACCCCTTTTTTCATGTGAAAAAAAAACAACAGACCATCTCCCCAGTCGGTCGATGTCGATGAAGCATAGGTAATACGAAAGGTCAAAAGACAAAAAGGCCCTTCATCGCTGCATATACATTATTCATTATACAATATAAGTGTTAAAATGACAGCTTAGATCTTGATTGCGCATTTGAGCTCATCTAGCGAAATGTGGATATCTGGAAACCCTTCACTAGCAGACACTTTTTTCATAATGCTGACATATTCAATGGGAATTAGGGCGATGATCTGATTATCTGGTGGTGTATTCCATTGCCAATAGACAAAAGATCATTTAATGACATGATGTGGAGGTCGAATAAGTTATATATTAAAACGGTCTTTGCTCCACAAGGAAATTTCATGGGAGGATGAGAGCTTGATGTAGAAGAGGGTATGCCACGTTTCATGTTGCTAGTCTTAACGGTTCGTGAATTATTCATGGAAAGTCGAAGGCTAACCTTAACAAGAGGCGTCTCTCAATTTATTTTCAATTTTCTCCTTTTGACCTATAATGGAGAGATCGCAAAATTGACCTGACCATAGGTCACCGATATCGAAATTCCTATGTAAAAAAAATTATACGCATTGCTGAGCTTGTCAATTGCTGAAAGTTTTAAAGTGATCGGTCACTCGGTGTAGCAATGGAAGGAGTTGAAACTTTTTAGGTAAGATCATGTGAGGTGGCCCAGTGACCTGAACTTGGGTGACCTTGGTCTGACATTTTCACAGCATTTGCGGAAAAAGTATGATGAGGTGTGCCTAAAACGGCGGCTATTCGCGAAAAAAAAAAACGCAGGGGCTGCTCAACCCCCTTCCCCTCCCTCCAGCAGGGCGCGGGCTAATAATCACATTTCTACCAACTGGCGATCTCCTGTTGATGTCCCCCCCCCCCCATCGTTTGGCGCACTCTTGTTTTTTATTCTTTTTTTTTGTTGCCCTTGTTTTTTTTTGTCTCCTCTTTGTTGATCACCACCCTCGTAATCAATGGTGCCCTCCTTTTGCTCGGTGTCCTTCTTTTTGGCGCCCTCCTGTTTAACCCGCGCGGGGCTGGGGTCTCCAGCCGAACGCGCGGGGCTGGTGGGAGGGGGTAAATTTTACCCCCCCCCCCCTGTTATCTCCCGAGCTAATGATCCGATTTGGAAAATTCAAACGCCGATCGAAAGATCTCATCACGAGCAACTAAAAACATGTACTTAATTTAAAGTTTGAGGTCAAGGTCAAGGTCAGGTCAAGGGTACAAATTGCAAGTTTCTTCAGTATCGGCCTTGCACCGTAGTTGCCGAAGAATGGAGTCATGGACTGAGACTGATTGTGCAAAACGTGTTCTTAGGCTACCAAGACAATATTCGTTGCATACAACATCATTCAGAGGTCAAGCTCAAGGTCAGGTCAGGTCAGGTCACCAAAAAGAAAATATAGAAAAGGGCATGTGCGACACATGTTTTATAGGTCATTTTATTCATATAATTCAATAGGCACACTCAATAGGTGATATGGACCACATCTGGATGAATTTCAGGTCGAGCTCAGGTCAAGGTCAGGTCAAGTGAGGTCAAATTTTGAAGCTGGTTGTTAAGGTCTAAAAAGGTGTCTATTTGATGCAATTTTTCACGGCGAATCGAATGGTGCTATTTTGTTTCCGTACGAGGTCTAGAAATTCCAAAAAATTCATTTTTCAAAAAATTGTTTGTCGTTACGTCATAAAATTTTGAATAACTCCCACATTTTTAACCGATTCTTCTAAAAATTGGTATGTAGGTAGGTGCACATGGACCACTTCTCTGACAAATATTCCGGTTTTTCCGATACACGCAAAATTTTGGATTTTATAATTATTTTCCCAAAAAAGTCAGTTTTTTGAAAAAAATGGGCCAAAATAAAAAAATTCAAAAAACCGAGATAGCAATTTGATAGACAAAGTAAAATCACGTATTACCTTTTTGTTACGTCTTGATTCCCTTAAAAATGAAGATGTTAGCGGCGTTGGAATTTTTGCCATTTTTGAGGCGAAAATGGCGAACATGACGTCACTAAAACGCCATTTTCTCAAAAAATTTCAGAAGGATTTCGCTCAAATTTTCAGGAAACGTGTCCAATTGATGTGAGAAAAGGTACTGGAAGTTTGGCGGCGCTGCGCGCCGCCGTTTTTGAGATATTGCAAAAATTCGCGAGTGGGGGTAAAATTTACCCCCAGCCCCGCGTGGGTTAATGTTGATCAAGGCCCTCCTACCTATTGGGCCATTGGCGCTCTCGTGTTGATCGCCATCCTCTCAACCTTTAGCGCCCGCCCCTCTTGTTGGTCGGCGTGAGTATATTTTTTAGGTTTTTGATAAGGTTCTTGAACCCCCTCGTGATTTTCTAAATACGCCACTGGTCGTATCTAAGAATAGCTCTTGGCTAGACGATGACTTACCTGGACATTGGTTTCTAGCCATATAGTGGTTGCTAGTCTGTTTTGACTTGTTGACAGCCGGACCGCGGCAGTCGCCAGAGAACAGGCGGCACATGCCGTCCTCTGGGCCGTACATGAAGCCGCTACACTCCTGAGGGGTCTGCGCGTCACAGCGGCGACCGCAGTCGACTGCTGAGACTGCTGAGACGGTCTGCACAGCCGGACCGTGCAGGGACACCGGGTCCAGCCAGCGGTACCGGACCGCGGCCGCTGAAGTCACCAGAAGCAGCAGCAGTACCGCTCCCGGCCGGACCATGGCTGCAAGTGATAATGAAGCCTCCTTCTCCACTTCGCTGTTTAAATATATTTAGTGAAGTCGTTAACCGACTTGTAACACTCATTTTCATTGGGTTTCGTTTGTTTGAGCTGCCTGTGTGTGATTAGCGTGACTTTAAGGAGATTGTACTAAATGTTTACCTCTCCATTTGCATTCAAATCGTCATGCCTATACAGACGGGTGACTTATATTTCAATTTATAATCATTTTTCAGTGGCATTGGACATAATGATGGAACAATTATGAAAGGCATAATAAACGTGAAAATACTAGCCGCTAATGTAAATTGCGCCTTGTAGGTGCCACGATCCTTCCAAAATTTATTCCGGAAAAGCGTTGCTAGTGCACGGTTTGAATGGAAATACGATGCAGATTGCAGGACTTAATTATTTGGGGCGCTCACTCACTCACGGTTTGCCTTCATAATGCATTACAGTGTGCTGATTTACGTCTTACAAGTATTACAAATTAGCAAGTGTATTGAATAATGCATCAATTTTTAATCGCAGTTATTCAGAAAGTCTAATTAAAATATGAATATGAGTATGCATTAAATGGCAGTACACTGAGCCTAGTAGTCGGGATTTTGTGCAATCCCTGTTTTTTTAGCGATGCCTCTAGAAGTATTACAGGTCCAGAGATGAAATTTGGTATGCCTGAACTTTTATTAAAATTTGATCTTCCGCATTGACTGCATTCTCAAGTTATGCAGCACCACTGTCATTTCGCGCGCACGCACCCACACACGCACGCGCACGCACGCACGCACGCACACATACATATAACAGTCAAAAAGCACGAGTTAAACAAAATAAAATGAATCGAGTATTTTATCTCAGCATCGTCTATCATTGGTCGCAAGTATTCCTGAAATACATATGTGTAGAACTACCGTGTAGTCGTCACGAGAAACGGAAATCACCATTGATTCACCGCATAACGGCACGGGATTGGGAACGGTGTTAAGAATCCGTCCGTTCTTTGCGCCGGTATAAACAGAACAGAAATATAATTGACCTCAGTGCTGTATTGGGGTGCAACAGCTTCGTCACCAACAGGTTGAGAGGTAGTCACCGTATCATTTAACGACCAGGCACAGTAATGATAAGGCACAAATCAAGTACAGCTCATTGCTTTTTCTCGTACATCCAAGGAGGGGCTTACGGACAGCCCCTCTAAATTCGCCGTGAAACGTGCACAGTAACGACAGGCACGATTACATTATACTTGTATCAGGTAAAGGGTGCATTAATGATACATTATGAACGGTATCAAAGACACACGTCTGATCTGTATCATATAATGCCCCGTCAGGATTTGGGTGCCAAAGAGGGTTAGGCGTTAATTTTGTCCGAGTGAGGCTCAGGAAAGGACCGCCAAGTCCGTTTCCTACACTCGGCGGCCACAAGCGCTACAGCCAGGAGAGCCGTGCAGTGCCACTCCAGAGGCTAGCGCGCATTGAGACCGACCCGGTCCAGACGAATGCTGAGACACGAGTGGCCCGCTCCTCCCGGACAGACCGGAGGTCACTGCGGGTCACGTGACATGTAAGCGACCGCCAATCACCGCGCGCCCGAGCACCGCGCCCGCAAACATACTGTGCCGCACGGCCCGCCGGCGCGCCGGCGCTACCGTGGCCGTCGGCGACACGCACGCGGCGAACAGTTACGACCGCTAGTTACAAAATAGATTACTTGCGCGAAAACATATACAAACTCAACATACTCCCCACCAAAATGTGCGTCTCGGATGCACATTTTAAAATACATGGGCACATCACTGACAAACTACTTAAAAACACTTCTCGCGCACCGGATTACGTCTGTCGCGGTCGCGCATCACTTGCGAAAGTGTCCATGTAGTGCGTCCGCATACATCGCCCGCCAGACGCACCGGATGGCACGCCCCTTGCGCTTACGCACCGCTACGACGGTAGTGGGGCGTCACTGGCACTGCTCAGCGGCTGCACCCGTGGGCAGCCAGATGGGACGCATCAGCGTCCGCCACGATCTCCTGGACGCATGTACGTCGGCGACAGCTCCAGGGGGCAACACCCCTAGCTCGGCTGGCTCAGGACGGCGTTCCCCGTCGTGAGCGACGGAGTCGCCGACGTAGTCACCAGCAGCCGCGCCTCCTGCCACGAACCACGTCAGGTCAGCAGCACACGACACGTCCATGCTGTGGGAAAGAGACATGCGTGAAACATAGCTTTGAACAGTGCAGGAGGACCAATGGTTCGCGTGGAAGCCAACAGACTTGCCACGTCACGAGCGGACACGCTCAATGAGAACCCTAAGAACGAAAGGCTCGCGTGGAAGCCGACAAGCTTTCCACGTCATGGGCGATCACGCTCATGAGAACCTTGGATCTGGCGAAGTTCAAGGGCTTTGGCAATGATATCAACAAAAGTTAAATTCAATTCCTTAAAAAAAACTAAATCAACTGTCCAGACTCTGAGTGCACACTGCACAACTTGGAGGAGGAGTCCACGACTCCAACCTCACCCCCGACGCATCGGTTCTGGGGGACGTCCGGTCTGCCCAAACGGAATCCGGCAAGACCTCTGACGTGTTTCCGACAAGAGCCATGAGCATGCTCTGCTCCTTTGGTCATTTGGGTTGACCACTTCAAAGACTTTCTCATGCACGTCTGACTGCAGGCATTGGAGTGCCCTTTGGTGGGGGGACCAGAAAGCTTCAAAGGCAATCGGCCTATGCAACAGCTCCTGGCCCTGCTCAAGATTCCGCCTCGTCTCGGCAGAGACATCCGGCAGATCAGGCGCTTGAGCAGCAGAACGGCTCCCCACCGTGCACGAGCCCACAGCGTCCGACTCGGAAAGCTCCATTGGTGATTGTTCATACTTGAGATCAAAGAGATCGACAGCTGCATTCATCGGCACGCCATCGCCGTGCGTGTTGGACATGACAGCTTTCTCTTTGCTGAGGCGATCCGACATTCGAAGCGTTCGAGCCAGCGTAGGACCTCTGTTGGAGACGGGCCTATCCTCGGAGCGCCATACTAAACCCATCTCATAGCGCTGCTCAGCTTCATTCCATGTAGGCTTGGGGTAGAGCCTGTGGTTTGAGTCGACCACCTCATGCTCACTGATCCCAATCGTGTCCAAGTCCCACATCGCTTCCACTTGGCGACAGTGGAACGTCTGATGACGTGGCTGATCGTGTGACAGGACTCCGCTCTGCTTCCCATGCAGAACATATCCAAAGATTGTCTCAACAGCTCGAAGCCCCTCACCGAGATCCACTTGCTCCCACAACACGACGTGATATATACTATCAACGCCGATTAGGAGATCGATCTCACCTCCCCCAAAGTCGTCCGCCATCTCCAATCGGGAGGGCATCTGGGGAGGTGATGTGGCCGGAAGGGGTGAGCATAGACGACCTGTGCTCCACATGTCCAGGTGCACAGAGCTGCCGTCAAAACGGCTCTGAAGCTCGACTCGGACTTTGCGATATTGGCGTGCCTGTTCAGTTTTCTCCTGGAAGCCAATGCAGGAGAAGGTTCCCGAGCCGACAACAGGTAGCCCAAGTTCTTCTGCCAGAGCGCCACGGATATAGGAGGAGTCGGAGCCTCCGTCCAGCAAGACACGGGCCCGGCGCCGACCATTCGGGCCCACAGCCTCAACCAGAGCCGTCTGGAAGAAGCTTCGGATTCCGTCAGCTCTCTGGGCGTTGAAACGACGATGGCACTGTCGCTGGGCATCTACTTCTGCGGCACTCATACCCGCCTCTTGAGGGGGCTGTGCCGTCGAGAAGCTGGCCGCATCCGGCGACAGTTTGGACGTTGGGACCGCCGAGTGACCCCCTGACGAGGGTCCCGAATGGTGCAGCAGGACGTGATGGGGCCTGCTGCACTCCACACATGATCCCTCTTTGCAATCACGGGCTCGATGACCAGGACGGAGACAGCGGAAACATACCTTCGAGTTTCTCGCGAGTGACCATCTGCTCTGTACAGTCATGCCACGAAATGTCACACACTGGGCAAGCGAATGATGACCTTGTCCACACGCGCTACAAGCCGTCTTCCTTGGCCTTTGAGATGGCTGTGACCGCTCCCTCCGAGGCTCAAGCCGTGCCGTCATAATGCTGGTGACAGACGGCGCCGAAGGCGGTGCTTCTGCGTTTGCGACAGACGCAGAAACTCCCTTGGCTGCCTCGCGGATCCGTAACTCTCGATTGAGAAATTTAAGGAAAACGTCAAAGTCCGCGCTCTCCAGCCGAGCCCATTCCAGCCGCCAGTCTTCCGGAATTTTGTCTTTCACGACTGGTAGGAGGAGGCTCGAGAAGCTCTCGGCGGGCACACCGAGGGTGTTTAGAGCGCGCGTGTGAGAAGACAGGTGATCAACCAAGGTTCGCATGCCTCGTAGGTCATTGTGGCGGACAGAGGGCATGCTCAAGAGCTCGCGCATCAGAAGCTCTCGCCGCACCTCGCTGTGGTCAAAGCGCTCTTTGAGGACTGCTACGGCTTCAGCGTAGCCTTCACCCGACACCGGAATCCCTTGGATTGTGCGCAGCGCCGCGCCGGCCAAATGCGACTTAAGAACGACAAACCTTTGCACGTCAGCGTAAACTGGGTTGTCGTGAACGGAAATTGTGAAGAGTTCCCAAAACTCGGACCATTTCATCACGTCGCCATGATAAATGGGAATCTTGACTGCGACTGATGCTTTGAGGTCTGCATTTCCTGTCGGGTTTTGGGAGTCGACCCTTTGAACAGTGTCACCAGCTTTCTCAAGCCGGGTGAGTAGCCTGGAGCCGAGGAACATCTCATCCTCCATGTTTTGGCTGTGACTGGAATCGTCAGGCTGACCAAGCTTGTCGAGCTGGTCCTGGACCTGCTGAAGCTCGTGCTGCAGCTTCTCCAAGTGATGGAGCTTGAGAGCCAGCTGATCCACATCAAGTGCCTTTTGATCCCCCTCCCGGCATGACCTGAGGTCGTTACACTGTTTGGTTGCC